CATACCAAGAATTACATCAGCAAGCCCCATGTCCTTCATTTCAAAAAAAAATTTCAACATTTTCTTGGTTGTTTTAATCATGTCATTATTACTACATATGATGAGCATATCATCCACATAAAGACATACTATAACATAATCGTTGTTTGTGTTTTTAATATAAACACATTTGTCACATTCATTAATTTTGAATCCATTTAACATCATTGCTTTGTCAAATTTCTCATGCCATTGTTTTGGCACTTGTTTTAAACCATATAATGACTTAACCAATTTACACACTTTCTTTTCTTTTCCTGGAACAGAGAATCCTTCTGATTCTTCCATGTAAATTTCTTCATCTATCTCACCATTTAAGAAAGCGGTTTTCACATCCATTTGATGAATTTCTAGATTGTACAAAGAGGCAATGGCAATTAGCATTCTAATGGATGCTATTCTGGTAACTGGTAAGTATGTGTCAAAGTAATCAAGACCTTTTTTTTGTTTTTATCCTTTGACCACAAGTCTTGCCTTATATTTGTCAATTGATCCATCCGCTTTCATTTTTCTTTTGAAAATCCACTTGTACCCAAGAGGTTTACAACCTGGTGGCAAATCTACCAATTCCCAAGTGTGATTTTGCAAGATGGATTCAACTTCACTATTTACAGCCTCTTTCCATAAAGGATCTTCAGGACTGGACATAGCTTCTATGAAAGTTAAAGGCTCATTTTCTAACAAAAAGTTAGAAAATCTGGACCAAATGATTTTAAGGTTCAAGCACGTTTACCACGCCTAGGTTTCTCTTTCTTATTTTGATCTATCTCTTGCTCTTGTTCTTGATCTTGTTCTTGATCATGACTAGTAATAGCATCATGAGATCTTTTGTTAGTACTAGTCTCTTGTCCAGTTTTATTTGGAAATATATGTTCAAAGAACGATGCATTTCGAGATTCAATAATAGTATTTACATGCATTTCGGAATGTTCTGACTTATGAATCGAAAACCGATATGCACTACTATTCTCGACATAACCAATGAAAATGCAATCAATAGTTTTAGGACCTATCTTAGTCTTTTTAGGACTTGGAATGGCCACTTTAGCCAAACACCCCCACACTTTTAAGTATTTGTAGGATGAAACTCTCCCATACCACATTTCATAAGGTGTTTGATTCACTTTCTTTCGAGGTACTTTATTAAGTATATAATTAGCAGAAAGTATTGCTTCCCCTCCCTCCCCCCCTCTGCGGCCCAAAATTCTGAGGTAAACTAGAACTTATTAACATGGCATTCATCATTTCTTTTAAAGTCCTATTTTTCCTTTCTGTAATTCCATTTTGCTAAAGTGAGTAAGAAGCGGTGGTTTGATAAATTATTCCATGTTCTTTACAAAACTCACCAAAAGGGGATTCATATTCACCACCTCTATCACTTCTAAGTTTCTTAATTTTTTTACTAGGTTGATTTTCAACTTCATTCTTATATTGAATGAAAGTTTCCAAAGCTTCATCCTTGGTTCAAATTAAATAAACATAACTATATCTAGTATAGTCATCTATAAAAGTGATAAAATATTTTTTCCCACCCCTAGTTTGAATTGATTTAAAATCACAAATGTCACTATGAATTAATTCATGTGGTTCCGTACTTCTTTCAATTGTATAAAAAAAAAGTTTTGGATAATTTTGACTCAACACAAATTTCACATTTATGATTTAAATCAATGTCAAATTTAGGAAAACATTCCATATTAATTAATCTACGCAAAGATCCATAATTAACATGTCCAAGTCTACCATGCCATAAATTTGAAGACTCAAGCAAGTAAGAAGAAGATGTATTTTTATTAATAACAGAGGGTACAACAGTCATCACATTCACTTTGAAAAGGCCATCAGACATGTAACCTTTTCCTACATACATCTTGTTTTTGGTAAGTACAAATTTGTCACTTTCAAAACTAGCCTAAACCCATTTTTACTCAACAAAAACCCGGAAACAAGGTTCTTGCGAATGTCCGGTACATGCAGCACATTGTTGAGAGTGAGTTCCTTTCCAAATGTCATCTTCAAAATAATCTTTCTTTGTCCTTCAACTTTTGAAGTCGAAGAGTTGCCCATAAAAAGTAGTTCACCGTTGTCGACTATAGAATAAGATGTGAACATCTTTTTGTTGGCACAAATATGGCAAGTAGCACCTGTGTCCACCCACTATTCTTAAGGATTTCCGACAAGGTTTCCTCAGAAACAACTACAGAAAGATTTATGTCATCTACACCATTGAAAATTTTGTCCACTTCGGTCATATTGGCTTGAGCAGGCTTCTTGCTTGATCTTCCTTTGCCTTTACACTTGCTACGACAATCTTTGGCCCGATGTCCCTCTTTGTCATAGATGTTGCATTTGCTATTAAACTTGTACTTCTTATTTTCTCCTCCTTTAGAACCTTGAGTGGAACTTTCTCTAGAATACTTCTGTTTCTTTGCTTTTGGAGCATGTTCCACCACATTTGCCTTAGACTCCATTGGACGCTTACCAGCCCACTTCTCTGAATTGCGATTGTCCTCCTCAATCCTCAAACGCACAATTAATTCCTCTAAAGTCATTTCTTTGCGCTTATGTTTGAGGTAGTTCTTCAATTCTTTCTAGCCTTGTGGTAATTTTTTCAATTAAGGCTGTAACTTGGAAGGATTCATTGAGAGACATGTCTTCTGCATGAATGTCATGCAGAATGAGTTGGAGATTTTGAACTTGACTAATCATAGTCTTTGAATCAACCATCACAAAATCCTGGAATTTGCCAACCACAAATTTTTTTGAGCCAATACAGAGACTCTCAAAGTTCCTTTGCCATTTTGATAGGACTGTAGACGTTGTATAATGAGTTGTCAAGTCTGTTCAAGATGTAGTTTCGGCAAAGGAAATTAACATGTTTCCAGGCATCGACCGCATCAATCACTTGCCGATCGGTTTCATCCTCTTTCAGAGTAGGAGCATCCTCACGGAGAAAACAAGCCAAGTTCAGAGTTGTAAGATAAAACAGCATTTTCGGTTGCCATCTTTTAAAATCAGTTCCTGAGAACTTCTGTGACTTCTCACCGTGATTAACTGGGACAGTCACAACAAGAGGAGGGGTTGGTGCAATTTCAGCCACCATACCTGTACTTGTTTGAGTATTAGTTTGACCAGTTTCAGTAGCCATGAATTTCAAATTATAAAATAAAATTATAATTAGAATTTTATACTACATAGAAAATTAAACCAAAACCACATAATTAAATTCTGTAAAAATAAAAGAAACATGAATTGTAACTTTTATTTTCAATTAATTTGAAAATAAAATAAAATTTTATTTAAACAAATTAATTCCACACAAAAAATGAAATTTCTATAACACTTCAATAATTAAAATACTGAAATAGAGTTTTAATTAATGAACACACATAAATTTTTTCTAAAAACCAAAATTAATTTCTAACAAACTTCACAAATAAATGTTGTGAATTGTTAATGACACAAGTATATTACTACTACTTGTCAAAGAAAATAAACAGTATATTACTACTATTTGTCAAACAATATATTACTACTATTTGTTTCTCCAACCAGAATATTTCTTTGTAAAACCATAGAAAATAATTTCTGTAAGAAGAAGAAAAGAAGAAAAGGAAACAAACGAAAAATTCAGTATAAACAGAATAATTCAAATGTGTCTTAAGATTGTTGGAACAATCTTTTGTATAAACTAAATAACTTGAAACAAATCAAACAAAAATAAATAAATTACTTACAGAATTTATTAACGATACAACTTTTAGATCAAGTCGAGTGTGTGACACTCTGTCCTTAAGACAGATTCACCCCGCTCTGGTGCTTACGAATAAATGGCTTCTATCTCCCAAGATACAATGATCTTCACAAATTGTAGTAGCACTCCAAACAATTTGTACGGTGAACAAAAACCTATGTTCTGTACTCTCAGAAAATATCCCAAAATAAAATGTAGAATATATATGCAAAAAAGCACAAAGGAAGGGAAGAAAACAGATTTTCAGAATGTGGAAATCTGCTGGAATGCCTTGGTATTTATAGGACTGAACAGGTTTGATTTTCAAGCCGAACAGGTGTGTTTTCGAATTGAACGGGTGCAGTTCAAATTTCAACAGATCTGCTGGAATTGTTTGATCTGTCTAAACTTAATGATTCTGTCCGAACTGTGTAGTTTCAAATCTGTGTAACTGCTGGCAGCTTTGAGTAGTTTCCAGCAATTAATCTATTGGAAATTTTGGATTGAAGAAGGTAAATTTTGGACATAAAATTAAATTCAATTTTGGCACAAATTTTGAATTTAATTTCATTAAGAAATTTTGGAAAAAATTCACATAAATTAATATAAGAACCGACCCAACCCACACCCGTGCCTGGCATGGCTCGGCCGGTCGACGGCGGCGGTAGCGACGGCGCGCACGTGTGTGGTGGTTTGGGCTAAGGTTCGCATTGTCCATAACTCCTCCCTTCTACAAACTTGGGGTGCCTCTTGGGGCCCAACCCAAGTGTTGCCACCTAGAGCTTATATACATGCACAAGCTCTCTTAAAGTTTCAATGTGGGACAACCCATTTCAAGAAAACCCACATTTTACTTCTTGAATTGTCCATTCCACGAACACGAAAATGACGTCAAGTTCCCATTCACTCATAAATGGTTTTGGCGAACCGTCTTCATCGTGTGACTTGACATGCGGTAAGGAACACATCACCTCTTTAGACCAACCTCAAAAGACGTGTGGACCCCACTCAAATTTGGGCTCAAAGTTGGCCCCAAATAAGCCTGTAAAAACCATTATTTTCAACAGTAAGCAACAACAATCATCTCTTCTCTTCGGCCCTCTTGGAGAATCCGAGGACCAAGAATCTGAAGTAGACGATTTTCCTCTATTGATTGCATAAAATAACTGACTAAACTCCTACTTTCTTGGGTTTTAGTGGAAGAGATTGGTTTTTGCCCAGTTAAAAGCTAAACAATAACAACTTCGAAGCTGTAAACATCACTTTTATCAGTAAATTGGCTCGATTGAAAATACTCTAGATCTAAGTACCCAAAAGTCCCCTGTACTCGTATGGTCAAATGAGTATTATCAACATCAATTGATGTTGAAGTTCCAAAGTTGGAAAATTTTCCCTTGTATTTTTCATCCAAGAATATGTTGGTTGACTTCATGTCTCGATGATAGATGGGTATGAAAGCTGCATAAAGCGAGTAGGAAAGAGCTCCAGCAACTTCTGTGGCAATCCGAAAGCGCATCTCCCATGATAGTGGGAACTCCATGTTTGGATCATGAATATGTTGAGAGAGTGTTCCATTTGGGATGAACTCGTATATTAGCAGAGGAACGTCTGTCTCTAAACAACAACCCAAGAGCTTGACTATATTCCTATGGACAATTTGTGAAAGAATGACGACCTCATTGATGAATTGCTCAACTTTTCCTTCATCCACAACCTCAGACTTTTTGACAGCGATGATTCTCCCATCTGACAACATGCCTTTGTAAACAGTACCTGTTGGAAAATTAATTGAAAGTAAGTGGTTGATTAAAAAATTTAGAAAAATAAACAATAAAGAAATCTTATTGAAATTAGAAAAAACAAAAATCATAAATTTTGCTGCAAATCAAATCCTGGATTTATGAAATAGCATAACTACTTAATTATGGTTAAATTAATTAGGAAAGATTGCATTTGATTTTTCAATAAAAATATTATGACAAATATTGGCTCATATACGTGCTCACCACGCTATATACAAGTCCAATACACGTGTCTGTATGCATAGGTAAATATATTATACGAGTGTTGTGCTAACTTTGGCATAAAAAATTCATAGTGCCCTCATATTCTTGACCCTTATCCAACCCAAAGGAGGATCCGTGTATAAAAAGGTCTCAAGATGTTTGGTAAGAAATCAATGCAAGATAACAAATTAGTTGTAAGCTTTAGATAATGAAAGGATAACAAAATTGTACCTTGGCCTCCTTGGCCGAGAATACGATCTTCATGGTAATGATCGGTGGCTTTCTCCAACTCCTTCGAATTAAACAATTTGATTTTTTCACTGCCATCACTTGAAGATAACTTGTGTTGTAGCAAGAAACCGCCATTTCGCTTGAAGAAATTTTCCTTGCGTTGCTTGTCATTTATTTCGCGTTGCTCATCATTTATTTTCTTCATTATTTTCTCCATTATTTTGTACACCCACCAAGAAACAATAAAAAGACCTGTAGAGAACTCAACTCCAGAATCAATACATATAGAACTCAACTCTAGCAAAAAATTTAATTATTTTTTAATTTTATAAAGTCATGTGTAATTCATAAAATGAAATGGATGGTGTATATATTTAAAGTTGATGTTGTGTGGACATACTCAAAATGTATCAACTCTATACACTTTATTTTTCTGAGTACTAACAAATTTACTAAAAATCTATCCTTACATAAAAAAATAAATAAATAAATAACAATAAAACTGGACATTTTTTTGTAAACATAACTTATGCTGAATTATTTGGCCACAAAATTTGAAAGAAAGAAAAAAAAGAGAGCTGATTTTAAACTCTACCAAGATTATGGTTGTCAAAAGCAATTGTATATAATATTTATTTTGTTGAAACAATAACATTAATTTATCAGAATTTTTTATTTGTTTGTGATTTAAAAATTTTAAATTAAAGAAGTTATTAAAAATGAATGATAAATATTGATACGGGGCTTTGTTCTTTTTTTAATTGAGCTCTCCGTTAGTGAACAGTGAGATTGATCCCCGAATTAGATGGTCCATTAGGTTGGATACTAAGTTATGATAATCGGCTTATTTGGTGCAATTTTTTGAAAGTTGAAAATTGATAATCAAAAATCCAAATAGGCATGTCTCCTTCTTCCGGAGTCGAAATTAGATCAATTTTGTGTCTAAACTGAAGCCTGGGAACTAAACTTTCTAATGGTTATAGCCTTACATCAAGATTCAAAACGTGAAGACAGAAATGAGTAAAAGAGTGTAGACTAATCAAAAATAAATATTTGAATTTGGAGTCTTTATTGGAGGGTGTTGTTCGGGCCCGTGAGGGTCACCATGGGTCTCATTCTATGATCCGAACTATTTATTTTGTTTGATAGTTCGTGTATATTATCTACATAAAAAATTAAATCGATCCGATAATTATAACATATTCAATTTATTGCATTTGTTACAAAAAAAAAAGGGTCTATTTTTAAAAATACAATTGTAGTTTATTTTTTTGATAACAAATGTAATAAATTAAATAGGATATTATTATCAGATTTACTTAAATTTTTTGTATGGATGAAATATACAAAGTACACGGCACAATGAACAGTTTGGATTATTAAAATAGAACTCGTGATGAGCTCACGGACTTGAACAACATCCTACAATCAAGAATATGGACTAGTGGGAATCCACTTCTAAATATTTATGTTCTCGTTTCTTTGTAATCAATTTTTTTTTTAAATTTACTTAAATTATTTTTATTTCATAGATTATACACATAAACTATACCAAATACTCCATCATACAATTTTAAAAATAAAATAAAATAAGTTATAAACAGCTTCATAAATTACACCAAACAATCCCTCAATTTCTATGTTTTTAAACACTTGGAAGGAAAATGAGCTTACTAAAGATAGTCCTCGCATTTGGCTTAGGAGGTTTAATGGACGTATCTGCATACAATCGCAATATCAGAAATTTAAAGTAGTTATCAACCAAAAAACAAACTTTACAAATTACTGGACAATAATCACTCCAATAATAGCCGTGTGTGATTAACAAGATTAATAGTGAGCAGATTAATAATCTCATGCATTACTATATGATTAGTTATTCAATTAAATTAGTAAAATAACTATTTATTATGTATTTATTTTATTTTTTTCTTTCATACTAGAAATTATGATTTTTAACCATTCTCAATATTAAAAATTTACCAATTTCGTAATATTATATAATTCAATTAATAAAATTTATAATCAAATATAAAATTGTGAAGTCATGATTTAATAATCTCAAGGTGTTTACACCACTCCTTTTGGTTAAAAGCATTCGGGTGTCCCCCGTTTTTACACCATTCCTTTTTGGTTAAACACACGCAGGTGTGTCCCGGTGTTCACACCATCCTTGTTTTCTTCCGCGTGCAATGCGTTAGGATCTTGTTTGAGACCTTAGGTGCACCCGACTGTCTCTTTTCGTCTTTTCTGCGCATCGCATAGTTAAACTTTGCATAATTTTCTTACATCATTTCTGCATGAAATGTGGTTTGGTTCGTAATTCCCACGTGTGGCGTGTTTACTTACTTTTGTGTTTGAGGTTGATATACCTTGTTTTGGTTTTAATGTGCCATTTTCCTTGCATAGCGTTTGCATTTAAATGTTTCATTACAACCTCATTGTATGATCATAAGTTATGTTCCTACATCATGCATATCACTTGCATCTTGCCCCAGAATTACGCTGGTTTGATTCCTTGTAAAGGGATATGTAGGCAACCTACGGGTGCAACTATTTGTTTTGTCTTGTTTATTTGTTTGTCCAAGTCTTCGGCCTTGTCAAAAATAGGTTGTCTCTAAGCTTTGACATTCAATCGCGTCATTTCATGACTTCCGAGTTCTGTCAAAGGGGGGCAACTGTAGACACCCCATTTTTGACCGTCCTCAAGACTTGGACGTCATCATTTGTGCATATCGTGATCATGATAGTGTGTGTTCGTTTTGAGTGCTCAAAGTTCTCGGTAAAGTGCCCTACCTTTGAGCTTTGAAACCTTATCTGTTTTGTGCCTCGTTTTGAACCAAAACCATGGTTTTTCTTACCTGGAACTTTTGGTGACCTATCGGCCACCACCATAGGCTGTCGACCATGGATAATGGCTATTGGCTAGTGGTGGCCGACAGCCACCAATGCCTTTTTCCAGATATTTGTTGACAGTTGTGACAGCTGTTAGCACAATGAGTTGTATCTGTCTACACATGTATGGTAGGATGTTTCTAAGCTCAAAGAGTGTTTTTCTATATATAGGGGGGTTCCTCCCCCATTTTGAGAGGTTAGCAATTTTGGAACAAAATTCTCTCTCTCTCTCTCTCTCTCTCTTACAATTTTGTGCTTTGAAGCTAGCTTCATCTACACGTTTACATACACTACCTTGATCAAAGTTACTTCTCTTTGAGCTGAGGTTCCTTTACACTTGTTTTGAGCTCTAGCAAGTGGTTTTAGCATGGATTTATGCCTAGACTTGCTCTTTGCTTCAAGAGGTAGTTTACTAGCTTTGTTCACTTGTTTAGTATACTTGTTTTGCCATATATTTAAACTGTTTTGAGGTTGGTTTTGAACCAAAAAAACCACTATTTTTGTGACTTAAAAGTGGTGGTTTGAGCCTTTCTTTTAGTTAGGTGTGATTCACCCTTCTTGCTTTCTAGTTTGCTAAGCTTTTGTGCCTTTATTCATCAATTCCAAATCAACTTCTTTGGATCTTTTAACCACTAAATTTCAGAGGTTTTTTAGTGGTCAAAAACTCATTTTGAAGTCCAAAATTGAAGGGGAGTGTCTTGCTTGCATGCCTAGTTAGCTTCACATGTTAGTATGTTTTTTTTAGCTTAACTTGGCTCAAGTCCAGCATGTCTTAGCCTCTGAGATAACCTGTTTTAGCTCAATTTTGGGCTGGTTAGTTTGTTTGAGTCTTGTTTTGTATAGTTGTAGTGTAACCGCATGCATTAGCCTAATGTTTTGGCTTTTGTGTCTTGAGTCCAGCATGTTTTAGACCATATTAGGGCTGTTTCGCCTCTATTTTTGGTCATTTGTTTCATTTGAGCCTTGCATGGCATGGTTGTAGTGTTAATTCCTTCACTAGCTTAGTGTTTTAAGGCTTTAACTAGCATTGGTGTGAGTTGGTTGCATGTTTTAATGTTTTTATCATTCATTTCCAGCACTTAATCACCTCTGCAATCCCCCTCAATGCTTCACTTTTGATTTGCTTTGAAAGTGGTTTCAAACCACTTGTTTGCCTAAGTGTGAAATAGAGGTGCTACACCTAATGGTTTAATCCCTTAGGGGTCCATTACCAACAATGTAATGTCTCTTTCATGCCCAAATCAAGTTGTGGTTTGAGCCCTCTTTTCATTAGAGGACAATCACCAATGGACTAAATGGATTAATGAATGGTTTGGTAATTAAAATGTGTAAACAAAATTGGCAAGTAAAAGTGTGCAAGATAAGCATTCTTTGTGTTGCATTGCATGTGTTCAAATCGGATGTTAATTTGAACACAAGGAAAATGAGACATTTCCTACTCCAAGTGATGAAATGTGTCATTTTTTTAGGTCACCATTGCCCTTGATCATTCATGATAGGGTGGTGGTAATTTTGGTCTTGTTTGTGCATTTATTGAACTTGTACAAACTTGGTCCCTTAGCCATCATGCATGGAAATTGCTTGATTGATGGTTTGAGGGCCAAGAGTTTCTCTCATTTGAGCTTGTGTGATGATAAGGAGTGTCAACAATACAAACAACCTGTGAGAATACACTATTTTGCTTTGTTTTGCTCTCTGTTGCAACATGGAAGTGCGAACCATCAGTGGCCGACCATCCACCAATGGTAGCCGACTAGCCACCATTAGTATCCGATCGGCCCCTTGCCCCTTTTGTCGGCCATCAATGATTTTTACACATTGTGTTCCTGAGGTGGAGCAGAAGTGTTCTGGAAGTTAGTAGAATTTTCAGTGATCAAATGTGCAAACAGAGGCTTGCAGCAGCAAAGCAGTGGCTTTTTCGGGTGAAGGATCAAGCATGCATGCATTCCTCGCTTCCCGGGATTAGCTAGTTTGTTTAATTAGCGTTACATCAAGCATGTGTTGTAATTAATTAGTTAGCTTAACTAGTTATTCGTTTTCGGTTTGTAATAATTGATTTTCTAGAATAGTTAATTAGTTTTCGGTTTGTAATAATTAGTTAGCTTAATTAGCATAGCTAGTTAGCTTGTATTCATTCGGACCCTCCTTCGCGAGGGCGTAATGGTGTAATAAGTGTGCGTGCGTTTGTGGATGTTTTCTAACCCCATGTCTTTCTCCCTTTTACTTAATCGCTTTTGATGGTTAGATTAGGAGCATCATATTTCAATTAGCATATCTCATGCTTGCATCCATTCATTTGTCTTGCATGCACCAAGGCTCGGCGCATCATTCAAACTACATTGTAATTTCAAAATCTTATTTGAATACGTGTTTAATCGCATGTTGTTCAAATCGATCCATACGCCATATTAGTAGCCAAGCCTATTAATTGTATTCTTTGCATGTGTTGCATTAGACACTTAACATAATTAGGAATCATGCATTATTTTCTAATTCTTGTTTTTTTAACTTGGAGTACTAGGTGAGTTTTTATGCTTTAGCATATTTGCATGAGTGTGATTTCCATATTGGCATGTTACGCATGCTTGCCATGTGGCTATTTGCTTAAATGCTAAACTGCTTGAATGCCTGCGGTTGAAGGCTTGTTGTTTGAATTGGAATAATTCAACGAATGTGTGTTTTAAGCCCACTTTGTTGAGTGGTAAATCGTGTTTTAAGCCCACTTTGTTTGGTGGCAAATCCGCATCTTTAAGCCCACTTGAGGTGGTAACTTCAAACCATTTTCGCAAACAAACATGAGTTGAATTGTTCCAAGTCTTGCAAACTAGTCTATACTTGCTTGTGCGCGTCACATAGTAAAGCTAGTTTAACAACTGGAATAAGAACATATAATGTTTATAAAAAATCATATCATGATTACTAGAGACCGATCTTTGATCGGGCGAGCAGGGGTGCTCAATCCATGACCTTCCCCTCTCGTACCTAAGTTCTCAAGCTGAGGCAACTTTGGTGATGACGGACACGTGGTGTTCGGTACGAGTCAGGATTTCCTAAATTTCTCCAAAAATAAAATATTTAGGTGGCGACTCTGTATCTGGAAAAGTAGTCCAATTTTGGAATTATTTGATTTAAAATCGATTTTTTTAAAAAGATTTGTCGAATTTGGACTCTTTGGTGTTTATCAGTTTCACATTGCACTTGTGAGACTAGATTCGGAGCCACAGGAGTCCGAATTGTGAAGGCCTTTCATTTCAAACCTTCTGATAGGGGGTGCGAAAAAGGTGAGCCGCAGTTTGTGGCGACTCTGTTGGGAACTTAGAGAACTTGACTTGAACTCATGATATGTTGTTTTATCTACACTTATGTGTTTCTTTGCATTTGCATCGGTGCGCCTAAGTCATAGTGTTTTCCATTTGCTATTCCTGAGTGGCTTGCCGGAGGCTTGCTTGGAAAAGCTTTCCAAAAGGCTGACCGGTTGCGAGCTCTGCCACGATGGGAACACAACCCTTGGATCTGGACTACCGTTGTACCGTTTGATCCTCTTTTCACTTCTCGGTGTTAGGTGCGAGAGGTATATTAGGTGGTCTTGCTGAGGTACCCTTTTTGACCAATCGACCTAGTTGCATATCGGAAGCCTTAGAGATTGTTCCAAACTAGGATAGGTTGCTCACTCAAATGCAGGAATTTTGTGAAACCGCTTGTTTTGCGTAGTGAATCCCTAGCTCCTGGCGAAACTAGGACAGGGTAACCCTACCCTATCATAGGGGTGTTTTGGATCTCACTTGCTTGATATGTGCTTTTAGAGTGGAACTCTGCAGGAATGTATGTATCAGTTGCAAGTCTGCGTATCAGTTTTGAGAGGCAGAAGTCAATGTTTGATCATGGTCTTACAACTTTGATTACATCAGTGTATTGATTAGAATTTGAGCTGAGGTGCTGTGTGGCTTTTGATTTTTGTTTTTCTTTTGCTTTATTTCTTTTTGCAAGGTACTTTTTCACAATTGCTTTAGACGA